AGGAAGCTGTCCTTGCAGAATAATTAAAATCTCATTTATTTGCTTGTAAGGATCTGCCCTCAAAGGTAGAGGAAGGTGTGTCCCTCTGCGTGGTTGTGTCTACGTAGTTTTGCTCATCCAATTTGGGCTGTGTTGGTGACGGGTGTGGAGTCGTGTTGCTGTTTGGGATTTCATCGAGAGCTGTTGGAGAGGGCTTAACTGGTTGAGGTCTGTTATCTGAAGTGTGTCTACAACTCATTCGATTGAACTGGGCAAGGACATAAGATGAAGTGAAGGCATTTCTCAGCTTGTGTGTGAAAGTAGGAGTTGGAGCTCTGCAGTGTATTATCTGCTGGCTTTTGTATTCAGCGTGGGTAATAAGGCTTGGATAGCATACATTAGCACTCTGGTAACATAGCATTTGATTGCTGGCAGTTGCTTGACTTGTATGTTTTGGCTAAATCTTCACATTAAAAGATTTGCAGCAGTTTAGTCCATTTCCCTTATCAATCAGGGGATGAATTGCCGAGCCAAGCACATCCAGGACTGTGCAGCCAGTCAAAGCTGGCATAATCAAGCTTGTACCTGCAGGTGTGAAAAGCTGTGTTCTGCAAAGACTAGACAGTGATATTTTATTTTTTTTCCTGAAGCTGACCTGATAATCTCCTGTGCTTGCTGCTATATGATGCATGCAGCCACTTCAGCCTCAGAACAAGGGTCCTCTCTGTGTGGGAGAGGGATTGTGAGAACATGGGTATTAATTCAAGTGAGTTAAAAGCTTGATGCTTTTTTTTTGTTTCAACAGTTCAGGAAAAACACAGCCAGAACTCCACAAAGGCAGAAAATAACTGCAAAGGGGTCTCTTGGGTGTTTTCTCTAAGTAAAGTGGCCGGGTGAATCTCTAAAAAGCCATCCTAGTGTAAGCAGCTGCACACAATTGGGGTAGAGGGGAGAGTTTCATCCTTTGCAGCACATGTCCACAGACTGCCGGTCCATGTAAGGAACAGCTGTTGAGCAAGAGAAATCTGGTCTGCTCTGTGCTTGTCCCCTTCAAGCCTGCCCTGCTGGAGTGACCATAACAGCCTGGGGTTCCTTCTGAGCTGGTTTTATCACACCTCCCAAGAGCTGACTCTTCAAACAAGTCTCAAATTCAGAGGAGGTTAATGGTTTAATAGCTATTGCCAGTGCTGATTGTGTGGAGCAAGGAAGCAGCCTGGTTTGGGAGAATCCAACTGAGTGTGCAAGACTGCTTTGGCTGGTGACCAATTTGTCTTTTTTGTCCATCAGCTTAATGTCTTGTTCACAGTGGTAGATGCTTCTTATTCTGGTGGGCAGCTTCTGGAAATGCCTGGTTTCGACACCCATTTGTAGCCTAGAAGTCCTTCGTGTGCCTTTCCAGCCTACCAGGTGTTAAAAGAAATGTTAATTGTTTTCCATGCTAAAGATAAAGCACCTTGGCTGTCTGCAGTTGTGCTGCCTTTGCAGCTTGGGGAACTGCATCTCTTGGGATTTGTTGTTATTAAGTGCAGGGGAAGTAGCTGGTGGTGTCTCTCGCCCTCTGTGCTTCTTATTTGAAGCAAGGATTAGTTTTCCACCCAGAGCCTGACCAGTGCTTGGCAGCTGTCCTCCAGGGCTTCGGCTGGGAGAATGCCAGGTGACATCTGGGGACAAGGAGTTCCTGTGGCATGAAAGACTGAGTTATTCTACAGCTTGAAGCTAGTAACGAAAAACCTAAAGCTTACTACAGAGGGGGTGTTTGGTCAGGGCAGTGTGCTCCAGCCTGCTTTTATTGCTTGGCTGAGGCTGTAGAGCAGACTGATTATAAAAATAGCCAGATGGGAGGAGGAATGTATAGCCTGGTGCAGCTTGAGTAACAAACTGCTCTGTGGGCAGCTACCTGCTAAAACCTGGACCGCTTTTGTGTTAAGTGGAAGTGCTACAGCAAAGTGTCAAACTCTGCTTAAGAAGATAGCCAGGTCACTGCTGTTCATACACTGTCTAATCCAGCCTCTTCCTAAAGCTAAGTAGATCTTAAGCTCTGACTAATCTTCTTTGAAGTGTGAACTTGTGCCATTATCCTGCAGCAAGCTCCAGTGCCACTATCTCCAGCTTTCGCTGAATGTAGCAGTCTAGGTTAGCTTAGATCTAGTTGTGGATTTCCTCAGCAAGTAATGCTCCAACATGATTTTCAGCCTTTACAAATGTACAACTACAGTTAACAGAGCTTTTCAGACTGGGGGGAAACGGTGCAAGGCTGCCCAAAGTACCCCGGGAACTCCTGTGTCAGGCTAGTGCTGACTGCCCAGAAGGAGGAAAGGCTCTTAATGCCTTTTTTTCATTTTAATTAATGGATCTCTAAAATGCAGCCTTCTGGGGAGCAGCTTTCCCTCTTGTTCACTGACAGTCATGATCGTAGTAAAGATGGAGTAAGCTTGTTGGGGAAGAGAGATTAATGTTTCAGTACTTCTGCTCACCACCTCCTGGATGTCTCAAGCTATTTGAGAACGAGAGCTAAAAACCTACAAATGTATATACAGATGCATAATGTATATGACTGCAAGAGAAATGCTATGGCTGTCTTTCAAGTGCAGCTGGAGTTCTGTTTAACCACTGGTGAAGCTATGTGCACAGCCTAAAAAGACTCCTGAATTCTAGAGAAATTGTATTTAGATCTAAACTGTCCTTTACTTAAAAAAAAAAACAAACCACCAACCAAATGCCAAAAAACCCCTACCTCTTGATGTTTCAATATATCTGATCTTAACTTGCTAAAGGAGTGTGAGGTGAACATAATTTATAGTCATCAGCATGACAAGGCAGATGCATGTCATCGGGCACTATCAATTTAAGCTGCATAATATACTCTTAGTGCTTTTTAATTACAAAAGTGCATGAAGTATTAGCCTGGAAGAATAGCTGAATACTGTTGGTTTTCAACTATCTTTTTTTTTTTTGGCAGGCAGGGTAGAGATAGAAGGGTGGCCACCCATCCTCCAGAGAAAGGAGATGCTGGAAAATAAAGTGGAAGGTATCTATGCTGTTGCTGATGAACAGCTTCTCGGTGGCTTCTGTTTGTTCCTGAGCACCTGGTGCACGTGTGTGGCCTGTGACAGGGAATTATTCCAGCAGCTCAAACTGCTGAGGGCCAGGGCTGCAGGGAGAGGGGGTGGGGGAGAAGTGACTTGGTGTCCTCTGAAGGCTCAACCAGGTGATGGAGCCTGTGGTAGCTGACTCCGACCTGTGTCTCTAAGATGGTAATGCTGAGGTGGTCTTCTGTGCTACAGACAGCCCTGCAGATCATATGGGTCTTCAGCTAGAGAAGTCTCTCTCTTGTGTGGAATAAGAAGTACATCTTACAATGGAAATACACATAGCTGTGTGTGACCACACCACACATAATATAAGCTTCCTGGTGTTTTGGTTGTGTTTAGTTGACTGGACCCATCCAATAATCCTTTCCAAAAGGAGACAAATGTACAGGAGCAGCTGGACCCAGAGGGCCTGTGAGTTAGATGGACTAGCACTGATGTGGCGTTACTGAGATGCCTCTCTCCACAACAGTAGTTATGTCTTTGCACAGCATCACGTGGGTGCCTGAGAAGACATGGAGGAGCGCTATACCCTTGTGTGACAGAGCAGTGCTAGGCTTGCTGCTGCACTGTGTGTGTGCAAATGCAAGTCACGTTTGTCTACATGGAGTTTGGGTGGGGAAAGGAGGAGTCTAGCAAGCTTGGGTACTCATCCTGGTGCCCGTGAGCAAGGCTGCAGAAGGTCATCTTTGCTCTTCTTTGGAAGACTGGGGTTGTCAGAACTACCCCCTAGCCTTTTTCCTTACTAATAGTCATTAGTCCTATGGCCCAAAGGTAAGAGCAGCTCACTTGTGAAACTGAGGACATAACAGCCAAAGCAAGTGAAGCTGTTGATGGCTGGAGGCTTCTTGCAGTAGGAATTGACTGTGTCACTCACAAACTGCCTCCTGGAACTGGGAGGAGAGCCTTACAAGATGTGCTGTGTGATGGAAGGCTGTTTGCTATGTGCATGGGACTTGTGTGACCTTCTGTCCTGAATGTGATGAGTGGGGCCTTGGATGGGATGGTCTTTTGCTGTTGAGTGAGGGTGCAGCAAGCCCAGGACTGAGAGGCACCTGGCCAGAGGGAGGTGGCTGGGAGCCCGCAGCGGCTGCTGTGAGGTCCTCCATCTGTCCAGCAGCTTGAGCTGTGTTACTGGAGGCAGCAGAGCCTGCCAAGAGCAGGCTGTCAGCTGGCTGGATCAGTGCTGGGCTACTGGTTCAGCGCTCTCTTGGAAACTCTTGAAGTACACAATGATTATACACATGAAACTTTCTGGAAGTGCCTCCATGGTGCAGTGCAGCATAAACACTGTGCTAATGCAGCAGTGCTGCTGTCTGGGCTGTAGCCTTTCTCCGTGGGGACAAGGAGCTCATACAGGGCATGACCCTAATGCAGTCCTAAAGCCTCCTGTTTCGGCTCTGGTTCTGTGTTGTGCTCTATAGACCCACCTTGTTCTCTGTGCAAGTTCCCTCTGGTCCTTCTGTGTCAATGCACAGAACAGGGCTTGCCATAATGGGTCTGAGACTTCAGTCTGGCCCTGACAAGCATCAGTCCTGGACTTGATAGAGAACAAACAGGTTGTTCCTCACCATATGCTTGCAAGTCTGATGGCTGCTGCGTGGAACATAGTACTCTACCACCAGGGCGAGAGCTTGGCGAGGTCTGTCTGGAAGTGAGATCAAGATGCGTTTTTGTCTGACATGACACTTCAGACTGGGTAGTCTAGGAGCAGTAAAATAGATGGAGGGAGCAGTTGTTTGGGGTGTATAGGAGGGGGTCTGCTCAGAACTGGCCCTAGACTAGCACACTTGGAACTTGTCACCATTTATTTAAGGCCCTGGGCCATAGATGGTTATGGGTGTGAGTAATCTTCATTCCTTTTTTCCTTTCTAGGTCTTGCACTCTGGACTTGTCAGCCTTGCAGACTTCTGGGCACACCTTTTCTCAGCTATGAGTAGATCAATAGGATTTAACATCTGTGTGGTCACCTACAGCATCCTGCTCTTGTCCTCCAGTCCACCATGCCTTGCATCTCAGCCACTGGAGCAGAGGGACATGACAAAGGTCCAGCATGGCCCCTGGGCAGGAAATGGGGTAGAAGATGAAAGGACAGGCATGCTGAACTGGGAAAATAACCTGGGCCCTTCTGAGCAGTCTGTCTCTGAAGAGCCATGTGGAGCGTCAGCAAAGCCATCTGGGACACCCTTAAGTGAAGCTTTCACTGCAGAAGGAGAAACACTGCCTGTAAGCCTGAGCCATGTCATTCCAGGTAGCCAGGGCCTGGGTGCTCACACCTCTGCTGTGACAGTGGCTGCCGTAGACGAGGAGGAGGTTGGTCCCACAAAGTCGGAGCTGGATGAGGCTGATGCATTCAAGGCTATGCTGACCACAGCTGTGACCACGCTGAACCCTGCTGTCCAGGAGGAGTCTGTTGGTGGCCCTGTTAGTGAGACCACCACAGAGAGTGGTGTTGAAGTAGGGAGCAGCTCTGCTGTCCTCTCGGCAAACCCCCTTTCTGGGACAGCTGTGGTGGCGGAGGAGGAGGTGGCAGAGAGTAGCTCGCACCCCTCAGCTGCTCCCCAGCCCATGCTGTACCCCAGCTCTCCCAGCTGGGAAACAGCCAGTGACCACCCTGTCCTCCTGACTCTCCAGGCCCATGGTGTGGCCTCTGAGGTGGGAACACCAAGAGCCCGCACAGGGAGCCCTCTGAAGTCCCTGGCTGTCCGAGCGTCTGTGGCTGCAAAACGTCCACTCGTGGTGACTGAGGCCTCCCCCCGCCTGGAAGCAGGGATGGGTGTTAGGCGAGGAGAGCTGCCTGCCACAGATGGCACTGTCACCAGCCACCCTGTGGACACCATACCACCTGACTGGGATGACACAAAGCTGGGGGACATAAATCAAGGGGGAAGCATGTCTCATGAGGAGGTGACAGAGGGGGCGATAGAACCATCCCAGACTGCACAGGGAGGTGTGGTGGAGGAAGAGGACACAACGAGGGTGCTGCCATCCCCAGCATCCCCTCCACCAACTCCTGGGCTTGCTGAGGAGACCAACTGCACAGTGCCGGTGCAAGGGGAGGAGTTGCCAGCAGCTTCCACAGGCAGCAGCGATGCTCTCCAGACTGCAAACCTGACGGGTGTAGACACGGTTGGTCTTGGCTCACTGGAGAGCATAAATGCAGTCACAGCAGAGGAGGGGAGAAGCATCCCACCATCACAGCCAGAGGCTGCTGTAGTGACAGATACACAGTCTGATCTCTCTCCTACTCTGGAAGGCTCGTGGAAAGGTAAAACTTGCCTGTAAAAGACACTTGCCTCTAAGTGTAGGTTTAGGAGGGATGCGTGTGGGAATCTGTGCTTCCTTTCAGGGAGGTAAAGTGGAAAAAGGTGTGCTCTTGATACCTGCAATAGAGGTAGGACATCTCTTTCCCCCCTAGGAAAGGTTATGGACCTTTGTGGAGGGGTAACAGCCAAAACAGGCAATTAGCATCCATAAAGTACTGCTGAGCCTTGGCTGTTCCTGTACACGATGTCCCTGTGTACAGGTAGGCACAGTCTGTTGGGTGGTACCCTGTCCTGACTTATGTGGAGCAACCGTACCAAGCTGCCTCTTCTGCTCCTCAAGCTGAGAGAGGGTGGCTGTAGTAGCAAACAGGAAAGCTGAAACTGGAAAGGCTGTGGCAGCTGAGCCTGGGGTTGAAGGGTGTACTTGAGTATGGAGGTCTCTGTAGAGAGTTGGAGTCTTGTCATCAGAGACTTGGTGCTAGTTTAAAAAACTTACTTTGTTAACGTAGTGAAGCTGTGCATGTGTGGTGTACTACCAAAGCAGGGGCTTCAGTTTTGGTGTTCACATAGTGGTTGGGTGGGGACAGCACTAGTTTAGTTGTAGACTTCTCACCTTGACCAGAGATGTAAATCTGCTTTGAATAGCCCTCTGGTATGACTCTCCAGCGATGAGGGAGTCCAGCCTCTGACCAACTGGTTAAGCACTTGGTTTCAAGGAGGATAACACTCCCCTAAGTGTCCCTTTGATGTGGCAAATGGGGCCATTAGCTCACTCTGAAGCCCTGCAAAACAGGGGAAATAATTCTTGGGGGTTAAATGAATTAGCATCTGGGATCACGTGCCTGTCAACTGTTAGCTATGGACACTTGCAGTCAGCGCAGAAGATGCAGAGGCAATGGATGGCTGTAAATGCCGTAAATCCAGGAATAAGTGAGCTGTCACGGTAGCCTGTGTGTGACTGATGTCTTCCATGACTTTAGAAAGATGCTCAGATCAAAAGATTTGTCTGGAGCTCTGTGCTGTCCTTTGTAACAAAGGCTCCTGGTGTTATTTCCCCACCCTAGAGTGGACAGTCAGGACCTGGCCACAGCTTCAGCGTTTTGTGCCAGCTCTGTTACCAGTGGGCAGAAATCTTCCTCCTTGACAGTCTGACACTGGCTGATGTTGTCAGCCTGTACTGTATTTACCTGCAGAGATGACACCTTCCGCCCACTGATGATGTTACTACTCAGTGTTTAAAATACAGGGGGAATGCTAAAAAAAAAGTCTGGTGAGGTGTTGGATGATGATATGTTCCTAGGCTGATGAGGAACTTGAGCTGGAGTTTAGGACTTTGTTTTAATTGCTGGGCATCTTAATCTTCCCTCTTAGACTACGGAGGCAAAAGGACAACTTCCCTTCACTGCATCCAAAAGATCTAGCTTTTGCTGTAAAAGAAGAAAAGCTAATTGCATGCTGGTGCTGAAACCTGACTGATTAATTTCTAGATTAATTTATAAGCACTTGACTTGTCAGTAGGTTCCCTCTCTGCTGTTTCCCAGATGTTGGGGAAACAACACTAACAATAAGACTTGTGCAACAAAAATAAACCCTTCTACAAAGCTGAAATCTCGTAGCTGTGAGAGCTGGTCACTGAAAGCACTGCTCTGGCAGCCTTGCTTGATTTGAATGGTATTTCACACCACAGGCCTGCAGTGCTGTGCTCACATGGCATTGGTCCCTGGTGAAGCCACATGTCCCTAAAGGGGCAATTAAGAAAACGAGGACTCATTCTGCTGCTTTCATTCCTGTTATGCATGTTCTCACATCTGTCTCCATGCTGCACTGTCCTAATGATACTTGGCTGGACCTGCTGCTTGCTCTGTGGCTCTAGAAATGCTACTGCGTGGAATTGTATTCCTTCAAACCTCTGCTTTGTTGCTGTCAGCTGTCCTGTGAGTTGGTACTGACACATGTTCTCGCTGTAGGTGTTACTCAGGAGGTGACAACAGTTGCCCAGGAGGCTGATGCTGCTCTGTCAGTCATGACAATGGTGCCTGGTGCTACCCAGGGAACAGGAGCTGCAAGCCTTCTGCAGGAAAACAGTGGGGAGGACACCCAGATGACGACTGCTCCTAGTGCCACTGAAGTGCTGGTGGCAGCTGGTACTTCCTCCATGGCAAACACTCCAGATACAGAAGGTAGGGTTCTGTTTCAAGGACTGCAGGTTCAGTTCCACACAAGATGAGATGATGCATCTGAAGTGAGTATCAGTGCTTGTGTACTGAAGGCTCAACACACAGCATCCATATTCTAAGTCACTTTTTTTTTTCTGGCCTTCTGCAGGCTGCCTCCAACCCTGGGCTGCCACTGCTTTCTGCCTATGCTACCAAATCCACCATGCTGAAATATGCCAGTATATGTTTTTTTTTTTTGCCCCAAAAAAAGATGGAGTAGAAACTTTAAAAAACCAAACCACCCCAAAATAAACAAAGCTCCCACACCCATCCTTGCTAGCAAGCTGACTTTTAGCCTTAGATTTTTAAACCACTTTTTATTTATGAAGGGAGAGCTCTTACTTCTGGAGCCAAAGGCAGTCACAGACTGCTGATGCTCAGTCCAAAGACCAAACATCAGGGCAGCATGGGAGCAAAGGAAGGTGCAGGGGAAGGTGGTGTGGTGTGCGTGACCACCTTGCAAGAGTCCAGTGGTCCTTTGGGTGCAGTGGCCTGCATTCCATTCCATTGAGGAATGAGAACAGTGAGTTCTTCAGGTTGATGTAGCTTGTATGGAATTGCTTTGAGCAGTTGTGTTCATCTAGCTGCTGCTGCCTCCTGGCTTGATGTCCCCTTGGCAGGTACACAGAGGAGCCTGTCTCCTTAACAGGAGTGTAGCAAGGGTTCCCTTAGCGCAAAGCTGACTTTGAGGTTGAATGTATTTCTGTAGTAGTAGGTACCACTGTAATGAAACTGCTTCAGGGCAGCTTTTCTGGTAATCCTTATAATTCAGGGCATCAAAAGAAAAAGCTATTTGCATTGTATCTCTTAAATTAAGATCCCCTTGTAGGGGAGAGAAGGCTCTTCTGGCAGTTTCCACTAATTAATTTGCTTCTGGGATTTAATTACAAAGATAAAAATTAGTTGAATTTATAATAAACAATTAGATCTGTCACTCGGTTCAGATCTCTACCAGTGTCTTGGTGCTCTGATCTTGCTATGGGGTGGTGACTAGCAGTCCTCAAAGCAATGGAAGTAAAACCTAGCTGAGTTCTCATTAAGGGGAACCTCCTGTGCTGGCTGTCCCAGAGGAGAAGCTTTCATTACAGCAGAGCCACTCGCACATCTTAAAAGAGGCAAGAGTTTAATAACTTCCACTCTGAGTTAAGTTTTCATTATGGAGTTCTTAAATGGTGGGGTTTTAAATATTGTTGTGCCAAACTGCTGCTGCTTTGTGTCTTCTGTAGATCTCGCAGATGTGGTCCTGGTCACCAGTGAGAAGGCTGTTCCAGCCCCTGATGGGTTGTCTGCTACCCAGTCTGGACAGACAGAGGAGCCATCCAGCAAAACTGTGGTCCTGGTGACTCCAGCATCAATGGCATCTTCTGTCAGGAGGACAGCTCTTCCATCAGTGAGGAAGATCAGTACAGCTGTGACCTATGGGCTGGACCGCCTGGAGTCAGAAGGTACCACTGATCCAAAGGCTAAGAAACGGGTGGTTTCATGCAGAGTGGCCCACTTGCCTTAACACTGAGCTCCCCAGTTTGTCTGTTTGGCATGAAGCTATGTGCATATGTTAAATTTGCTAATAAAGTTGTTGAACAACCTGTCCCCTTCCAGGAGGTACAGGAAGCAAGCAGCAAACAGTGTCATGGAGGATGCTTGAAACTTGAGCAGCTGTAGTGGGAGGGATGGGGTTTTCCCTTGGAGAGGGAGCGGCAGTGGTATCGCTGTTGCAGCAGAGTCTGGCTCTGCGTGCCTGTAACTTCTGGTGTCTGCATCCATTGCAGAGCCTCTGTACCAGGTAACACCTATCAGAACATGTTCCAAAAGCTGGAGAGCCCTTGCCACTCTGGTCCCAAAATCCTCACCATGTGCAATGCAGGGGTATGTTCAGCATGAGATGGTTATCTCGGTGTCCAGCTGGCTGAAACCTTGCCAGAACAAATGATGCCCTATTTACGCTCCCTGTGTGACACTGCTGGAAGAGGCAAATGATGAATCCCCTTTTGAGATGGCCTTCTAGCTCAAAGCTACCTGGTGAGCTGCTGTCCCATCACTGACTCCTCCAGCTTTGCCTCACCCTGGGCTCCCTTCTTTTAAACTGCTTTTGCCCACTGCCAGTCTTGGCGTCTGTGCTCCCTGGTTGTCTTCAGGTAGCTGAAACCCAGTGATGCAAACTCCACCCAGGCAAACACCCATCAAGAGAGGTTCAGGTGAAGTGGATTCTACTCTGGAGTTGGTCTGCAGCTCAGATCTGCTGTCTCTTCAGCTCATCCATGATTTTCCTGCAGAGAATTGCTTTACTTGTGCTGCTTGTTCTTTCTCCTACTTAAACTCTCTCTGCTTGCTCATCCATCCAGTTTTGTGCTCCGGTGCCTGGACTGACACCACCTGGCAGGGATTAATCTTTCTGCCTGCTTTGCTCCTCTTCCTTTCTTGACCTTCTCTTGCCTTCGTATTTTACTGCAAAGGTTGGCAGCCCTCCAGAGGTGGCATGCCAGATGGTATTTTTCTTCTGATTAGAGGTGGGGTGCCATAGACAACAGCTAATCAGCATCTTTCCTCTGCATGAAGCAATAACTCCCACTCCTGTTAAGTTTAGAGGGCAGCAGAAGCTGGGAGCCCTCCGCGCTGCATGGGTGAGGTGCTGCAGCTCCTACCCTCTCTCAGGCTTGCTGCTTGCTTTGAAGCCTGCAATGAGTTCTCTGGGCCTCCAGCTATGGTGCTCACCCCTTGTCAGGATGAGTCTTGCCTGTATCTGGCAATGTGAGGATGTGGTGCTGGTGATGGGAGGGTGGCAGCAGGGGAAGGAGGGCTTGTGTTGTGGGGGGGAAGGCCTGATCTCTCAGGCTGGGAAACAAGGTTTCTGCTTAGCCAGAGCAGTGTGATTCAGGAGGCCAAACTGTTTCTGAGCCCTCTGGGATCTCCTTTAGAAGCCTGGATTTCTGCACGGGAAGATAAGAGGGATTTCTGTTTTAACTGAGTGTTGGCTTTTCCCTATTTAATGAGACTTTCTGCATAGGCATTTAGAAAAACATTTTTCTGCTCTGACATAGGACTGCTGTGACTTTCTTGGGTTCCTACGGAGTGCTCTGGTGCAACCACAGGTCTGTTTGCTCTGCTCGTGAATAAGCTCTAAGGGCAACTATGGGCTGTAGCTATGACCAGCTTTCCTAAATGATGAGGACTCAACTAGAAGGCTGTGGGTTTCTTGACTCTGGGGTATAGCTCTGCAGGTGCCTGTCCTGCAAAGGACACAAGTGCTCTCTGGTGTGTTGTGTGGTTTTAACAACTGGCACTGCTTTTGTGGTGTAAATCTCTTCTGATCAACCCAGACCTTAGTGCAGTGAGTCAGAATTTTCCCTGGTGTTAGGGATCACCAACCCACATCTTGTAAAATGGGACAAATACCACTTGGGGATAGGCTTTCTGCCTGGGGATGCTACTGCCCCATTTAAGCAAAAAGGAAACTTCTGAGCTGCAACTCTGCTTTCTAATATATTTTTCTCTGTGTAATGGCAATTAGAGGGTACCACATCTTCATGGTAGAGCGGCATTCAGAAGCTCAGTTTCCATTCCCCAAAATTACAGTTCCTAGTGCTTACCCTCAGAATATCTAGATGCTGTCAGATATGAGGTGTTTGGGAGTGCTTCCTTATAAAGGAACACTGAGCTCCAGCCCAGGGTGCTCAAGCTCTTGTGGGATGCAAGGTCAGACATCACTGCTGTTACAGGCATATGCTTGGGTCCCTAATGAGGGATCTTGGGCCTTTGCAGGGAGGCTGTGCCTTGCTCACCAGTGGAAGAAATAGAAGGAGCTGAGTGAGCTCAGCTGGTCTCCACTGCCTTCACTGGGGCTTGCTCACTTGCCTCACTGTGGGCCTGGCTCATCATTAAATACAAACCCCTGCTGTTCAGCTAGCTCTGTTTCTTGGGGACCATCTGTGCCAAACTGCCTGCAGTTAATTGCATCAGTATATTCACCTACCTGGCTTGGATGCAAAACCATTTTAAAATTCAGATTCCACAGACAAACATGAGGTGCTTTGAATATGTCTCTAGATGAGCATATCCTCCTCTCTAGTGGACTCTGGAGAGATTAGCTGGGCAACAAATATCTTCCTGCCTTGACTCTGTGGCGTGACTGGTTCTACTTGGCCTTCCTAGACAGAGAAATCCTGTAAAGGGATTATGGGGTATGGGGATGGGACACAGCAGAGGATGAGGCTTACTTGTCTGGGAGACTTAATTGTATATTTTGTTCCTGTGCCTGAAATTTGTGTGTCTCTAGCAAGCTAGACATGGCAGCTTTCTCTTGAGGGCTCCTAGGTTCCAGACATATAATCTAGTTCAGTTTGCCTGCTCAGGACCACTGTGTAAGCCTCCCAACGCGTTCTGAAACGTGGCTCTTCTGAAAGAAACTGCTTTTCTCTTGGACTAGACTCCTTTGCCATAACGTCCACCATGGTAGGTATGGGCAGAGATGGCTGCACTCCATGAGCATGGCAGCATTTGGCAGTTATAACTTCCCGATGTGCCAACTAGCCTGACACATTCCCTCTTCTGCCACCTGGTGGACAGCACAACAGCAGTTGGCTCCCCTTGGCTGGTCCTCAAGCAGCTCCTGTCACTGTTCTGTACAGGATGTGATCCAGGGGTGCTTTGAGGCGAAGCTGAAAGTGGGTTAGTATGCTTTCTATGAGGATCTTGACGGTCATGTCATCCTAACATGCTAATCCTAAACTAGCAGATAGTACAGAATTAGCCTGCTGCCAAGAGTGATGTTTCATCTGTCACAGCCTGGATAAAAGGATATGATTTTTTTGGTGTTTCTGATTTGCCTATCCCATTTGTTTTTGCATGCACACCTTCCACCACCCCCAAAAAAATCCCGAACTGCTCTGCAACAGTGTGTAAACCCTAATGCTGGTTCCTGTTTGGTCAGCTAGGCTTGCTCCAAGCTGTAGTTGCTGGATGCGGGCTGCTTACATGGTTCAGCTGTCATGTAGGCTGCTGGATATGGAGGGTGCTTAGAGCTTTATAAAAGCAGGAGATGCTCTACCTATTGTGTAGTGTCAGGAACAGTCAATAGCTCTGAAAATGGGCAACTTAAACTCAGCTGCTCTAGAGGGAGGAGATCTGAGCCATGTAGCTCTTGAATGTGAAGTGTTCCTCATTAGTCAGGCTGGCTCTCAACCTGCAGCTGGCAGAATCCTGGTCTTTAGGGTGGAGGGGTTGGAAAGGCAGTGTTGGATGTCTGCTGCCCAGGACAGCACAGCACTGTTTCCAGTACTCTGCCTGGTTAGCTGGCCTGCCCCAACCTGATGCAGCATTTGGCTGTGGAGAAGACCCTCAATGCTGAAGCACAGCTGGCACTGTCCTTGGGACCAGCAAATCCAGTGTCCTGCGGTCATAGGGTACCTCTGCTCTGAACCTTGGCTGTGGGTTGCACTGTGTTTGTTCCATCTGCAGCATTGAAGGCTGTTTCAGAACAGTGCCAGTATGAAGCTCTAGGCTTTCTGACCTTAACATATTAGTGGTATTTTAATACCTACTTGTGTCTGGGTTTAAACAGTTCCTATTGTTCTTTGCTGACCAGTCTACTGAAGTTTACCCTTCCAAGGAAACCGTGGCTTAACTAATTTCCATAAGAAGAGCTCTCCCAGTCATCTCCATTCTCTTCTGTTTCCTCTTCATCATGTTCTTGCACACAGTCATCTAAGCTGCATGTCATACTTCAGAAGTGAGGGCAGTGGTTGCCTTTTTTTGAGAAAATACTTCAGAACCTGTAGCCACTTACATAATTTTAGAGAAGATCCTTTTAAATTCTCCTTACACTTTTCTTTTGAGCTGTGTCACAGTTATCAGGAGCCTTCTTTTTTTGGATGTGCAGAGTATTTTTGCTGCAACTCAAGTCTCTGACTGGGATTGCTATTTGGACCCTGACTGCATGGATTAAGACCTGCCTCATTAAATCTCTGCAACCCCATTAAAAATTTAAATGAGGTTGCAGGGGCGTAAATAAGACAGGCACTTAGCCCAGCATGATTAACTAGCCTTATATTGTAATTCCTCACCAGCTCTTTGGATATCAGCAAAATTGGTGAGGAACAGATTTAAAACAAATCACAAGCAAAATGAATTAATTAATAAATGGTTTTGGTGGACTTTTTTGTCTTGCTTCCAGTTTATCCCTCTGCTGCAGGTTGACCTCCATCTTCTTCACAGTAATGGTAGTTCATCCCTGATTCTCCTCCTTTGTAGTGAGGGGAAAAAAAAACCAACTGTGATAGAATTTTGCATCAAAACCAAGCATATTTTTTTCTTTCTTTTCCTGAAAGTGTTTGACCAAAGACAACAACTCTGCTTCTATATCTGGTGGTGATTTGTTTTGTTTCATGAGGGCCACCTGAGAGTTGAGGAAGGAGGGGTGTGGAGGGTTATCTAGCCTTTAATGAGTTGG